GACTTTTGTTCAGTGGCATGTGTATAGGTATGTACATCCTCCTCTGAGGTCTCCGCCAGCTTCTGTCTTAGTTCCATCTCTATTAACTGGATAAGATTCCATTGAGGGGAAAGATTTCTTCTTTGACATAGATGTGTTTATTCTGCAGTGACGAGAAGCAAAAAGACTATTAGATTGAGAAGGGACATTTTAAAAATATAATCCTGTAGTGTAATAGTAGACTTACTAGTAGTTCCTTAAAGATACTAGACACCATCTTTGGACCAGTCAAAATAGTCTAGCCTTTTAGCAATTTAATAATTGTTTCTGAAGTACCTTATTACTTGGGCACTGGGATACTGGAGATGAAATGTCAACAAATTCACCATGTGGTGAGGATGGGCAAGATTCCTCTTCCTGGTACTGCAGGGGTAGAGTGTATCTGTTCCACTTAGTGGCATAGACTCTAGGTCAGCCTGCAATTCTTAAAAGGTTGAGGAATCCCACTGAGATGGCTTAATGCTAGGATCTGTTGGTCCTCAAAACATCCTGCCACCAGGACGATCCTGTTGCCACTCAGAGTTCCTATGATGTCGTTCTAAAGCTTTACCCGGATGCCTACTTTAGATGCTATTTTCACCTGAAAAGAAAAATAAAATTGACATCCGAATGTGTGGATTTGAGACTTTTCAAGAGATAATGAAGTTACAGTAATCATCTTCCAATGATCTTTTTAGACAGTAAGGGTTCCAAAATGCAAAACCTAGAAATTATTATTTTGAAGTATTTTCTTTCAATTCAAGGGAATGGAATGAATCTGCATCTGAGGGTACTAAATGTAGTAGCAAGCTTGGGATTGATAAGGATGAGTTTCTAAGTTATTGAAGTAATTTCTTTCTAATTACCTTGAAGCAGAGGTAGCACCTTTTAGAGTTGCATGAACAATACTAATATTCCCTCAAGTTTTTATAAATCAGAGTGTTTTTATTTCAGAATTTATCACAGTAAAGATGTATGTGAAATCCTAATTAGTATTTCAAAGTAAGATTGTACTTTGAAAGTACAAATTTGTGTGCCTAGATGTGCATGTGTTAATGGAAAAACGGCATTTCCCATCTGAAAAGGAGTGACACAGATTTACCATCCATAAAAAAAATATCATGTACTTAAACTAATTGCCTCAGTCAGAAATCGAAATGGCTTTGTCGATTTAGCGAAGGATGTTAGCACTTTCTGGCAGCCATAATTGTGATAACAGCCTAACCGAACGGTTAATATGGCTCTTTAATTGCCTAAAGTAACAATACATACTCAAGTGATAGGTCATCTCATTTATCATGCTCCATTGTGGTTTACTTGCCTCACAAAACTTTCAACTTGCTTTGAACACTTTTCTGTCAGGCATCAGCTACTGGCTGATTGTTTTCTACCATGCTGTTCTGATTACCACTTTTTAAAGTCACTCCTCCTGCTGTTTCTTTTTCTTCACACTGGTGCCTTAGCTGCCTGGAGGGCATTGCATTGAGCTGTTGACATACAGTAAATCAGTGACTCACGGCACTCAGCATTCTCCACCTTTGCATCTATTTTTCAAACTTCAGTATTTCTGTGATTTAACCCTTGGGGTGGCTCTTGATTATCCTAGATTTGAGTTTTAGAAACAGCTTGGTGATTTGCTTGGGAAAAGCATCCTTTTAAGGAATTCCATTTTTAAAAATTCAACGTAAGTTGTGTTATGTAAGCCTTAGTTGCAATTGATAACTATTCATTAGGAGTGTGTTTTAGAAAACCAAAAAAAATTGACTTTCACAGTTGATTACTAATAAGGTTCACTACCTGTAAATTAGAATAGACTAGAAAAATACCCACAAATGAATGAGAATACTTGGATTTCTCAATGAACTACTCAGAAGCAACTTACAGGAATTCTGAGATATTTCTTTTGGTGATTTGTCTGTGAAGAAGTCTTCATGGCCAGTGTCCTCAATCACCAGGGAGTTTCTGAGATGCTCTTCACTTTTGGGCTCTTGTCCAGTCTCCTTCTATGCTCTGCACTCCCATAGGGGAAGCTGGCACTGCCATGCCCACTGAAACCTGTCCTCTGATCACTTTCCTCCTTTATCCAGATAGCTCTATTGGGAAGATTAAGAGACTCCAGCCATTAGACTGTTTCCTTACAATATTCTAGGTGTCTGCTGGGGAATCTTTGTTACATTCCACGGAGTGAGAAGATTTGATGTAGGCAGTCCTGGAATCTTGTGTAACATTTGTAAGGCTTGCGCTGTGTAATCCACGTTTTAGGGAGAGTTACCAAATTTGTCATGTTATATGCATCGTTTTTGGGGGAAGCCTCTCTACCAACCCACTTCCATCCCTCCTTTTCATGTTCCCCACCCTACACACACACACACACACACACACGCACACACTCACTCATGCACACCATAGACACTTGAAATTCATATCACATATTACAGTAGTCTGAGTTTCCTGGTACTATATAATTTTTAATGCCTATACAAAAGTCAACTTTTTAATCTTACTGTCACTTATGGTTTGTTTTCACCACCACTAACATAAAATCCAGAACATGTGTATTTGTCTATAGTAACATATAAATATATGCGTACATTGTACTAAAATCTTTTGTTCAGTGCAATGGCAGGAATGCCACATTTTTTAAAAGATTTTATTTATTGGGGTGCCTGGGTGGCTCAGTCATTAAGGGTCTGCCTTTGGCTCAGGTCATGATTCCAGGGTCCTGGGATCAAGCCCCGCATCGGGCTCTCTGCTCAGCGGGAAGCCTGCTTCTCCCTCTCCCAACCCCCCCCCCCGCTTGTGTTCCCTTTCTCGCTATCTCTCTCTGTCAAATAAATAAATAAAATCTTTTTTTAAAAAAAGATTTTTTTTTATTTATTTAAAGGAGAGAGAGCATGAGCAAAGTGGGGAGGGGCAGAGGGAGAAGCAGACTCCCCAATGAGCAGGGAGCCTGATGTGGGGCTTGATCCCAGGACCTCAGGACTATGACCTGAGCCAAAGGCAGACACTTAACCCACCGAGCCACCCAGGTGCCCCAGGAAGGCCACATTTTAAAGACAGGAAAAGTCTGTCATCTGTAGAACAATCGTAGGAATCAAACGATCTCAGCAATGATGCTAAACTCTATTCTTTTGTCAAAAGTATTTCTGATTTTAGACAATCCTACTTTGGGTTTTCACAAAAAAAAAAAAAGCTTCTAAAAGATGTAATGTATTCTGGATTTCTTTGAAAGATTCATGTTCACATTTCTGAGTTTGCATTAGTTTGAAATTTCAGGAAGATCAGAAGCTTAAAGCATCCAGAGAGAGAGGCAGAGTACAAGTGGGAGTGGGCACGTATTGTAATCTCGTCCATTACATGGACCTGGGAAGTTCTGCATTCGCATTTGGGTGGAGAGCCTTGCCTTTGTAGGTTCCCCATGTTTAGTGCTAATTTTAGGTTGTCTGTTACCCTCAAGAACCTTGGCTGACCTGGTTTGTGCACAGGTATCAGTTACCAGACTGGGTGGCTGCTTGTTCTAGGTCTGCATCTCCAAGCAGAGATTCACACTGTTGCTTGCAGTCCAGGAGTGGTTGGGAAGTTTAGAGCATCCACTCAGTTGAAGGGTGCTCTGATACCATTGTGGATCTGAGCAAGTCTGTTGTACAACTGGGAGAGGCAGAATGACCTGGTGGAAAATGCATGAACATTGGCATCAGATTTGGGTTTAAAATCTGGCTTTTCCACCTATAGGCTGTGTGACTATTAGTTTATTTCTATGAGCCTCAGTTTCTTCATTTGTAAAATGCAGAGCAGTCATAGGAAATAAATGGACTAACATGTCCAAAAGTGCCCGGTACTTGGAAAGTTCTACCACTATAATACAGGAGTGGTGTGAGTAGCATCCACAGTAACTGGTTTAGCTTCCTTTCCTGGCTTGATGAGGTAAAACCTGGCTAACCACATTTTCAGACAAAGCTCTTAAAAATCATCTGTTCTATCCCCAGTCAGAGAATAAGTACCTAGAGAAATTCCAAGCCTGGAGAGGGTCTGAGAAAGAGAGAGAAAGGAGAGGGAGGGAGGGAGAGAGAAGGAGAGTGTTCTTTGGGAGTTGTATTAGTTCTGTGCTTTTCCATATTGATACTCAGTGGCATACAGCTGGTACAATGAGACTGTACACTATTAATTTATTTTTAAAGATTCCTTAACTCGGTGTACACTTTTTCTTTCATCTCATCTTATATGAAACACAATTAGAGGTTTTAAGAAGGCGATATGTAATCAATGCTTTTATTCCCAGGTGATTTTCCTTGAGAGGCGTTTACAGTTATGCTGCTTTGAAATTTTCATCAGCTTAAACAACAAGAAAGTGACAGTCAAATTGAATTAAATTGTTCAATGATTCCATGATCTATTGACCAAGTGAGGAGTTATGATGCACTTTAATTGAGCCTAAGGCTTCTTATATTCTTTTAAAATGCCCTTAGGTTGGATTGTACAGAATAAAAGATAGGTGTTTATTTTCAAAATTGACTTAAGGTATTATTGAAACAATGAGAAATCCAAAGACTCAGGGAATTCTAAAACTAAAAATATCCGCCTCATTTTTTCTTGTCACTGTGCTCTTTGAATAGTAACTCATAGTAATAGTCTGTGCTAGAAGGCCCTCCGTTGAAGTAACCCATTCATTACGATAACGTAGTTCACCTTTTCCTTCTCTTTCTCCAATTTAACTCTAGAGCATACTAAAGCCCTTGAGTCATTTTGGAGTTAACATATAATAGACCATGATAGCAAGACTTCAGATAAATCTCATAGAATAAAAATATTAAGATATAATATGATTTTTTAAAACCACAATGTAAAATTTGTCAGTAGTTAGTATTATCTTCAAAAACATTTTGGAAAGATTTTCAGAACTAGATTAAGTTTTGCTAGTGAAATAGTCACTTAAAAAGGCAATTTTGTAATTTTCTTTTTTCTTTTTTTCTTTTCAATTTCAGGGTCAACCTGGTCCTCACGTAAGTGAATTCTTTTCCTAACAAATTAATTTCAATTTAGGATTTCCTCAATGTGGAGATTTTTCTGCAATTTTTTTCAAAGGCTATAAAAAAGCTATGAACCAGTAATCATGACACCACACAGTAGACCAAATATTTCCCAGGAGTAAAGCTCTGGGGCCTCTCCGGGGTTGTGTGAGCCACATCAGCTGTTGGGCCAGATGGCAAGTTTAACAATGTACTATCATACAAAGCAGAACTCTTAACTGATCTGAAACAGTGCCACAGGACTTTAATGTAAGATAAAATGACTTAGTGGATGTCGGGTATGAACTGGTTTGCGTTAGGTACTGATTAATCATGTGCTAATAATGTTGCCGTAAATCCACACAGACTCTGATTATTGAGACTGTGATCATACCAGTGACTTTTGATTCATTACAGACAGATACTGAATTTGATCTACATTTTCAATATAAACCAACTGCTGAAGACATGATTTATAATTAAATGTGAATGCAGTCAACAGAAAAATCTTTAGAGCTATAAATCATATTGAAGAAAATGAGGAAATTTGAGGAAGGGGAAGAATGTGTAGGAAGATGAAAGTCCAAAAGAAGGGAGTTGTCCGAAATGAAGAGTCAGTAAAAAACAACACACTCAATATTAATACTGATTGTGGTCTGTAGGAAGCTATGGAGAAGGGAAAGCCATTATTAATGTTTTACCTTTAACACCATGGTACCCATGAATAACATAGCTATTTATTGAGTTCCTCTTACATCTCTTTCCCCTTGATATGCCAAATGCTCTTTCTGCCTTGGATTATTTTGCAAATAAATAATTTTCATGATATCTTTGTGGATCAATATCCAAATTGTTGTTGTGGGCTAATTCTCATACTAGACCATGAGAATATTATTTATAGTTTTTATGAGCTCCGTGTCTAAGGCTATCTAACAAAACAAAAAACCCCGCGTACTCTCATACCACACTCATGAGAAAAAGTTTGGTGTGTAATTAATTTATATTCATATCAGAGAATACTCTTATTATTTGTCATTTCCACTCTTATTTTCTAAGTTGGCTCAATTATTGGAGGGAAAAAAACCCAGAAAAGAAAGTTGTAGCTTATTTCCTAAATTTGAAACTGCTGCATTATAATGGGATGAAGTCAAAGTAAAAAGTGCTTTGCATGCTTTATTTTATTAATGCTTAAAACAGCCCTGGAAAGAACCATCTGATACACACACACACACACACACACAGAATCAGAAGAGATCCATGACTCACCTGGGGTGACACCATAAAACTAGGGGCAGAAATCAAGTATGTCTGTAAAAACCTCTACCCCTGTAGCACTCAGCTCTCAAGAGAAGATGAAAAGGTAAAATAATGGGATAAAAGGAGTTAGGGTGCTGGTTTTGAGATTATTATAATCTGTAACACATTTTAAGTATTAATAGGACCTCTGTCTTAGCTGGGATTACCTCTGCCTACCCTAAAGCAGTCTTTTAGATAAGGATTTGGCTATAAGTAATTTCTTTGGAAGACAATCCCAGGAAGCATCGTGAGGGAGTAGGGAAATGACACAGGAGAGGCAAGGGGGCCAGAAAACAGCTGTATTCCTGAGGAAGCTGTGAGAGACCATAGAGCTTGTCTCAGAATTGCCCACTGAAAGGCCGGGGAAATTGATGTATTTATCTACTAAATTCCCTTGCTCTATTGTTGAGAATTGTGCCTGGGTGTTAACTCCCTGGCACTTCTGGTCTGGCCAAGAAGGTCCAGCGCTCTCCAGCTGCTAGAGGAATGCAGGCAGCCGTAGGACGTGTGGAACCTGTATCCTCAAGCTGCCTTGGAGGGAGGCAGCGGTGAGGGTTGGCACCTACATCTGTGACAGCGTCCAAGTGCAAGAGTCCTAGAGACAAAACAAAGAAGGGAAATTTCAGATATGGGTATAAAGACTTGGAAAATGGGACAAAAAGACAGCATTGAAAGCATATTAGTTAATGAGATGTTAAAGAAAATAGCTAAGAAGAAGGACATGTTCATAATAAATCTTGAGTTCACAGCCACAGTTAATGAGCAGAGGAAAGATGATAAACCAGTGACAAACCAGCGTAGGGAGCCAAGAATGGGCAGAACATGATAGATCACTGTAACCAAGACTTGAAAATATATCATGGTTCTTAAAAACGTAAAGTCTATCTGACTGTCTGTACTTGAAAACTTTGGAACCTTCAAGGAAGATAGAATTGGCATTTTAAAATGGTGACTTGCTCTGGTTTTCCTTCACCTTGGCTATCTGTTTGCCTTTAGTGGACACTCGAATCACATGATCATTTTGTTCAAAATGTCTCCCTCTTGTCACAACAAAATGGTAAGCCATGGATTCAGGAAGAATTGGCATGAGGGGAAATGCAAAGCCAGGAAATAACTCACATTATCTTTCTATGGCACAAAAAATAGGCAAAGAGTTGTTGGTATGTCCCCAAGGAAAAGTTTTGACCTACCTCTTAACTCTATATCATCATCATAACATTTTTCAAAAGAAACTTCCAATTTTAGATTTTAAATTAAGTAATTCTTAATGGAGTTTTTAATTTAGTGCTTAATGATTATTAACTATGCACTGAGATTTTTTTATAAATTATAGATGTATCTTGATATACAGGCTCCTTTCCATCTGTATTTTTATATTCCCTACCACCTATCATAATGTATTACTTTCCCAGCCTCTAATCTACTCTTGGGAAATTTCTTCTGCAAAAAGTAGAAACTAAATAGGCTTTTACCTCCAAGAACAAATTTTGTCTATCTAAAAATATGAACACTTAGAAATGATGTAGTAAATGTGATTATCAATATATGCAGCAGAGTTATAGTATTTTATACAATTATATCTTACATTACCAGTTACCACGAATCCACTTTTTCTTTGAGTAAATTTATATAAACTACACATTAAATCTATTTAATATATATTATAATGTATATACAGTGAATAAGCAAGAAGTGTACTTTTAAAATCTAAATTAGGAAATTTTTATGGATTTTTAAATGGTTGAAAGTTTTCTTTTATTTGATCAAATTTCTCTTAAAATGTTCATGTTCTGTTTTTTTGTTTACTAAAAATGATTTTATTCACATACAGTGTGTATAGTGTGTACAGGAACTTATAATTTGGGGTATGTCTTTCCTTTTTTTCCTTCAACTTTTTGGTGACTTAAAATGATATCCACTTTTTTCTTGAAATATCTACTTCTTTAATTTCCCTAATTTTATAAGATTTCTGAGCTAAAATTCTTCATAACTTATTTTTTGTTATTTATACATGTAAGTTTCAATGCAACTAAAGTGCCATATTCCTTCCCTGCTGATACTGCTCCTCCCTTATCTTTGGATCTCCTTAGCACATATTGTTAACTGTGGGGAAAGAGCATGAACATTGCAAAACTTTCTCTTTACCCTCTCTCCCCATCTCCTTTTGCAACTAGTTAAGGGAGGAAAAAAAAAAGAAGAAAGTTTGCTACTTAAACAAGATTTCTCCAAACAAGTTCCCTTAACTAGTCCTCAAATCCAAGTTTCTCACCCAATCCCTGAGTCATAACCATGTCACTGAGGGACGACTCCTTAGCTGGACTACCTATTGCACTGAAAATCCATACTCCCACTGCCTGGGTAGCATTGTGAGAGATACATTTCTGAAATCCCAAATCCCAATTTACAGTGGATTTTCCATTAAGATAGCATTACCAAAACTGTTTCTATTGTACAATAAGAATTTTTTTTTTGGTGCATTAAGAATATGTTTTTGTGGATTAAGCTGGGAACATAAACCATATTTTATTAGGATTCCTATGGGAAGATACAATCAGATTTCCAAACAACTTCAAAAAAAAAAAAAGAGTTGTCAGTGTTTGAGTTGAGAGATTGCACATCCTTTAAAGTTTACTAAAGTACTTGGACAGAATTAGAATTGGCAACTTGTTACTCATGTGCAAATATTTATGACAGTAGAGTGTTCTTGCATAGGTTGAACATTCCCATGTCATCTTATTCACGGTATTATTCAGTGCAAAACTCTTCCTTAGAGAGGGAAAGGCTTAATTCTGCTTCTTTGGTATGATGCCTTCTTTAGTTAGGACTTCCAGATTAATACGGTTTTATTTTGTAGACTGATGGTAAAAAGGGAAAATGTCTATTATTCAGGGAGTTCTTCTGATCATCTTCCAAAAGCTGAAGACAGCCTAGATGGATTTAGCTTAGGTTGTTAAGATGAGGACTGCAAAACTAAATGGCAGGGATAGTATGAAACTGAATATGAAAATAGGCTTCAGGGAAGAGAGGTGAGTCTTTGCATTTACCTAAATGGGTGAGCAAATGGTTCTTGACAAGGGAAATGAGACGGTGAAAGGGTATTAGGAAGAAAGGGAAAAAAAAGGCAATTCTAGCAGTTGTGGTTAAGATGGGAAAGAGGCAGGAAAGTGAATGGAGAGAATGCTGCTGTGAATCCGTTGTATCAAAGGAAATCAAATCCTTGGAGAGGAAAAAGAATGGGATAGAGTAAATAATGTCAGACACGGGGGAAAAATGGCTGGGTAAGAAGAGAAAAAATAAGTGATGAGAGAGCAAGTCAGGGAAGAAAGGAGGAAAAGAAATGAGAAAAAAGACAGATGGAGTTTGTATTTCAAACTAGAGATCATGAAAATTATTTGGGAGGTGGGGCAAAATTAATCTATTGAAATGAAAGTCACCCTACTATTTGTTTATTAATTCATATTAGCACAGTTTAAGTCAACACCTCAAGGATTATTTAGCTCCTATGTGCAAGGCACAGCAATAAGGCTGTGAAATTGTGGTGAACAAGATCGACCCAGTCTCTGTTCTTTTGACAGTTCTTTAAATAGTAGTCGAGGAGAGTGTTGAAGTTCTCTCAACTCTCGCAGGTCCACCATTCCAAGGATGAGTTCAATCCCACCTACAAATCCTGTCCAACACCTGCACATCTGGTAATCCCC